TTATCAGGATGGCAGAAGAACATAAGTGGAGTAAAATGACAGGAAAGCAAAGTGTCTTTGAGTAGAACATTGGATACAATTAGAAAAAACAACAGTATTTTGTGTAAATTAGGCCATCCTCAGCCAAGCCCAAAAAGCTTATTTTTTCTTCCAGCTATTTTGAGTGGGTCTAGTAAAAGATAGTCCTTTTTTCCTACAAATCTTACCTCTTCTGACAAAATAATTACCTGTTAGTGAATTCAAGTCATATTACAGCCATTTTTCTCAATCATAATTTGCTATGGATTTTATCAGTATGTAGCAAGACTTGCTCGTAAAAGAACAAATCCCTAAAAAACACATTCTTCCAAACCCTTAATACATCACAGAGTAATAGTGATCTATCTTACCCTACTGCAACCTACTCCTGCATACAACCATTCCCATACTTATGAACTGCCCTCACTGGACTTGGCTGAGAAATCTTTTAAAGATAATTTTAAAATTAATTTTAAATTAATTTAAAATTAATTTTTTTAAATTAACAATTTCTTCCCTGTCTATCTCTCCTTTCCTATTGTTGTCATTGATCTCCAATGTTGTTTAAAACTGTAAATCTCTCTTCTGTACAGGTTTGAATATTCTCCATAATAAATTATCATGCAGGTTCATCAAGCTCACTACCAGTGGGGCAACTGCCCAGGCTGGTTAACCTGGAGGGTGGGAGAACACAAGATAAAACACAGAGCACAATCCTTGGTCTCTGCAGCACACTGATGATCTCTCATACAAAAAAAACCTTTCTGCACCAAGGTCCAGACAAACTGACAGTGTACATTGGACATAAAAGAAATTCAGCTTTCTCACCACAGCAGTGGGGTACTCTATGCAAACATTGCTCTCTCCTAAAATAATTCAAAGAAAGTGAAAAGAAAGAAGAAAAAGTTGGTATCTTATCCTGTACCCTAACCCCAAAATCAACAGGGATGCCAGCATGTTTTTCCTATTTATATGAGATCTACCAAAACCACTCTGCAGCTTCATTCAGAGTGAATTTATGTATTTAACAAGACACCTAGCAATGGAATCTTTAATTCTTGCATTTCAGTATCTTCCCTCCCATCTGACACTGTCATGATCTTAATATTCTACTTGCAGCAATTGCTCAGTTATAATGTGTATGCATTTCTGATAGCACTGACTCATTTCTTCTCTAATTACTGCTGCAGAACCACACTGGCTACTGCTCCTTTTACCCCAGTCATAGCTACAGCGCAGCTTGAAAATTGCAAGCTAAAACCACAGACCAAAGAGTACCAAACAACAACCTCTCCAAGTCTTCACTGACCTATAGTGGACAAAGGGTCTATGGGTTTAGTTGAACAATCAAATTTACCTTTCATATTTGGCTGTAGATGTGAAAATTCTGAACAATTTAATAGCAATGCCTAATTAGCAGTCAAAAGTTTAGACAAGAGCATGGAATGCTTGCAAGTACAGATTTGAAAGCTATTTACTAAGGTGAAAAATATATTCATCATAAGTCATTACAAATTTATAGAAGTCTCTTCACACAGATGATCTACAAAGCATCTCATAGCAAAACATTTTAGGCAAGTGCAAACCTAAATTACATTTTTATGTAGCCTAAGAAAACATCACTTCAGGGCTCAAATGAAGCTCAATAAATCCCATAATGAGACAAAAAAATTAAAAATTTCTCAGTCTGGATGGTCTATAATGGAGCAGCAAATCAGATAATGGACTCTTGTTCTGGTAAGAACATTTTCTCTGGCTAGTTTTCAACTAGACAGCAGACAGATATATGGTCAGAGAAGTTCTTTCTCAGGCTGTTGAATGTCACTTTCCAATTGTACTGTCCAAAGCACAGAGCAAAGTTTATAGCCCCTAATACATGTCCTCTCCTACCTACCATTCTTTCTTCCAACCAGGAAAAACCAGAGCAAGCCAGAGAGAGAAAGTCTGGACCTTCACAAGGCTCACTGCCACGACTCTTAGTGCCCTAACACACGCCAAATTCCAGGAAATGTATTTGCATGCACCCAATCCTCCAGGCAGCAGCCATGGTTGTTCAACAAGCTCAAATGCTGGATTTTCTGCAAGTAATCTGTGTTTTTCTGACCAGAGGGAATTTATCAACCTGTGGTGCAATAAATGCATGAATCGGTATCTGCAGGCCAGTCTGAAGAGAAGTTTAAGCCAGCAATGATGCTGGCAGATTTCTAAAATCATTTGATGATATCAGCATTTGATGATTTCAGCATATTCCAGTCAAGAACTGGAACAGGCTACCCAGGGGAATTACTGTCCCTGGAAGTGTTTAAAAAACATGTAAATGTGGCATTTGAGGACATGGTTTAGTTGGTTAACACTTGAACTACAATTTTTCCAACCTTAACTGTTCTACAATTGTATGAATCTGTATTTATGTCCAAATCTAAGACTACATTCAGACTGCCAACAGAACTTTAGAGTGGGTGCCAAAAATGTATAATCAAAGACTTTTTCAAGTAATTAAAATTAACAGAATTCTTGCCTGTAGAGGATGTTACGTACTTATAAATTGAAATTAGAAGCTTTAATAGCCCCTGACATTACTTTATCTTATTTAACTAAAAGATTATAGACTAAGAGTGAAAGATTTACCATTACAGTGAAAAAAAAAAAAGTTCTAGTCTTTAAGTTAGTTTGTTGTGGAATTTTTAAAATAGTATTCAAATATCACAAAAATAGATTATGAAAATTAAAAGTAATACAGCTTCTTAATCTGAGAGAACTTTGATGCCAAAACTTTTTTTTTTTTTTTTTTTGCAGGGCTAGGAGATAAAAATTAGCAGTTTTAACTGTAAAATACAAGATACCTCTCTAACATGTCATCAGTAAAACTGAGCAGTACAGACACTTGGGATGCTTGGCTGTGTTGTCACCTTTATGACCCAAAAAAATTGTTTCCAAGAGTTTGTTTTCTGTCTTGTTTCTTTTGATAACAACAGCACAGAGACCAGCACAGCAGATGGCAATCCCCATGCATCACACAGCAAGAAAGCCTCAAGGACCTGCAAGCCAAAGTCATTCATCCATCCACGTTTTCCCTAGTACCAATTTGGTGCCATGCTCTCCAAATAATTCAGCTAAACTGAGCAAGTCCCCACTACAACATGATCCAATAATATGATTTCAATATCAAAGTCTACAAAATTCACAGGTGAATGAATAATCCTCACTCTGCCTAATGATGGTGGTTGAGAAGTTAAAAAAGACAACCAAAATATTCTGAATTAGGAAAAGTAGAAAAGAGGAGAGAATTTCCTTCCTATGCAGCCTCTTCAGACAGAAGAAGTTTTCACATGTTGACAAAATGCCAACAAATACTAAAAGAAATGTGATCCTTCAAGTATCTATCTTTACCAAAAAGAAAAATCCTGCCTGAACTAAAACAAGCTGCACAACTAATGCCAGTGACAGAGAGTTTATTAGTTAGGCCCACAAGTAGCAAGTGTTGCCAATCTATTCTGGAGAAGTATTTAATTCAGATTATAAACCTGGAGAAAGGAAGTGAGATGAAAAATCTATACAGCAACACAGGATGACAGCAAGGAAGCAATTATTCAGAAGTCACAGTTGGAACCTGGCTATCAGAAACAAGGAAGAGCTTAGCCAACATATGTAGTTATTTCTTTTAGTTACAACCTGAGAAATCCTCATTACATTCTAGCAGGTACAAAATATCACCAGTGTTTTCAAATCAGATCATGCTTAACCAGATAAAGGTTTAAAACTGAATACTAGAACTTAAACCTCACAATTTATAAAAACCAAGTTCTATGGAATAGAAACAGTGCTTACATTCAAAACATCAAAAGCCACCTCAGCATAGCTGGATTTTGTAAAGCATTTAAATTTTCAAGATTGCAGTTCTTTTTCCTGCTCACACTGATAAATACTTTCACTATTATCCCTCTAAATATTAGAGTGGTACTCCCATATCCACAGTATCTGAGCATATTGAAATACTGATTTCAGATAGACAACTGGTTTTGAGTAAGGATCCCTGCAGGTAAGGTAGAGTAACTGAAAACATGAACAAATTTCTGTCTGGGGAGACCTGAATTCACACAGTTTGTGTTGTTGCTGTGAAACAACCACAGCAAAGATGTCCAAATGAAGTAGTGTCTTGTCTTTAATTGCACATGGTTTTCTCCATGCTCTGGTTACTGGTTCAGCAAAACTCCTCAGAATCCCACACAAATGCAGGAAAGGGAGGAAATCACATCTCCAGTGAAGCCATGAAGGAGAAACAATCTGCAGATTTGTCCCCACAGAACCAAAAATCAAAATACTTCAGATACTAATTTCTTACAAACATCAAAGAGCATTTCTAACTGCTTTAAAAAACCCAACCAAACATAAACAAAACCCAACCAAACAAAACCAAATTATTTTAAAATTAGAAACTGTCTCATCTAGAAGAGGATGATTTTCACAAAGTAAATTATCTAGCAGTACAATGATGTTCTCCCCAGTCCTGCTAAATTTTAAGACTAAAGACTAAAATTTTAATCAGTAATATTCAATATAAGACACTTTGAGCAAGACAGTAACTCATCATATGTTTTACAGGCTAATGGATGTACTACCACACAATTTATTTGCTTTTAGATGGTATATAGTAGACAATTATCCTCCCTTTAGCTTACACTGCATTTTTTCACACCTGGAAAAACATTTATACATTGGTAAAATTCAGCATGACCAGAAGGTAGGCAAGCATATACAGGACTTTTCTACACCATCACCTAAATTATGCACCCCTCAAATCTTCCTTGCTACCTAGCTTACTTTTAATTTGCAATTAACATGTCTTCTGTAACCATCTGGTTCTGCCAAATGAAAAATTGGAGTCATTAGACTGTAATGTTGTACTAAAGAAATATATTTGCACTAGCAGTTCAAATCAGATAAATCAAAACTTATCAATTTTTATCCTCTTGCTCTTGTGATATATCTGCATATGCAATGCTTATTGCTTTAGAAATTAACTTTTAATCTTGAAAAAATATGGATTTTTAACACACACTGAGATGCAAACTACAACTTTGCTTGCAGTCATACCAACTCGTACAGCTCTTGCAAAAGGATGACACCAGAGAGTGAGATTCTCCAAAGCACCAGAGGATTCAATACAGACAAAAATCACTGAAAAAAGTTAATGGATTTTGTTAATTTCCCCTTTGCCTGTACTTCTACCCAGCTTCCTTTCTGGTTTTCAGGGGTTTTTTTAATGGAATCACACTGCTGGCAGTAATGAGAAATCTATAAAATATAGAAAGCTCTCATTGTATAAAAAGGAAACATTTTCCTGTAATGCTAATGGATACTCCCATTTGCTGTAGTGATACTTGAATGATATTTTACTCCATAATGCTGTTGGCTCAAGGCAGAAGATTTTATACTAGTGGCAGCTCACTTAAAGAAATCTTTAAGGTCTTTTACACTATCAGTACTCCATCCTTTCTATATTCTTGGGTGGGGGGGAGGAAGTTTTCTTTCTGAATCATTAAAATAGAATCATCTGGTAACCCTGACCAGATGTTGGGAACAGTACAGCCAAGTTTGCATGAAAATATTTGGGTGAATATGTGTTAAAGGGTCTATCTAGACCCTTCCTTAAGCAGATCTTAGCTCTCAGTTCTGGAATATCCAGGCCCAGCACTAGTGCCTACCCTGCTCTGACCAGCCAGAATGCCAAAAGACATTCCTGGCACTTGGGAATTGCACAGGTGATGTGTACATCAACCAAAGCCTCAATACAACACAAACAACCTTCTTCAGATCTTAATTAAAAAAAAAAATAAACCACCTCATCTTACACTCAGATCTTAATTTAAAAAAAAATAAACCACCTCATCTTACACTCAGATTAACACAATAGACAAACAGAGTGTGATTTATATCAGGCAGGTGCTTACCAGGTATAAAAGGCACATAAATTCAGCCAGATCTCCAAAAACTGCTCAACATCCAGAACTCACACTAGAATTACCAAAAAAGTGTCTGCTTTCCATGGTGATCAGTAGGCAGAAACTCCAGCCTACAGTGAACTTTTCTTTCAAAAGAATTTACATATCCCCATGCTAGTCTTATATCATGAGTCCCTACCCCCCAAAAAAAAACAAACCAAAAAAAACCCCACCAAAAAACCCCAAAAAACCAACGAACAAATCTGTGATGGATTACAGCTGCCTTTCCCTCTTTAAAAGCTGCTTCTGCTTAGCAGCTCAATTAAACAAACTGGAAACAGCTGGGAATGAAGCAGCACATAAAGATAAACAGCTTAACATGGTCAAAATTTACCAACAGACCATCCTGAGAGGCTACACACTGTGAACAGGTGCTTTTATCTTGGCCTCTAAACCTTACCCACTCAGTGATCCCAATGTAGAAGCAAAGCCCAAAACATTTGCTTTTTTTCAGTGTTTTTCCAAAATCCTGTACCACTGTTTGCTTATAGGATTTGAAGTTCTCATGGTTGGTTGACCACTCCTTATCCAGTTACAAAAATAAACAAAAAGGGAGCAGGAAATAATCCCATTCATCCTAGCATTCTGCACACAGTGTAACCCTACTTGGCAATTCTGCCTCACATCCTTTCCTTTATTCATAGAAACAAGTTTTGTAACCTGGGAATGGAAATGGACATGATCAGGAGGCTCAGAAAGCCTTTTCTAATCAGCCAGTGATGAGAAATCTGAATAAAGAAAACAAAATTCAGTTTCATTAGCACACTGGAATTAACAGACCAAGCTGTGAAAACTTCACTGCTCATTTGCAGTGTAAATTGGGGACTGTCACAACTGACAAATTGACATTTTCACTCCACAACATGACTTGAAGTTCTAAGCAGAATTGCTTTAAGCATAGCCTGTTGTTTAAGAGATTACCAAAGGTAATAGAGTGATGAAAAGCTGCAAGCCTAGGAATTTGTTTTAACACAACTATTTTCAGGTTTTGAGGGAAAAAAAAGGAAGATAAAAGCTCAAAAAGTGCAAACTGCAAAAATGGTACATCTTCCTTCTTGTTTGGCAAGGTCCAGCAATAAATAGACACCACAGCAAAACAAAACTGTCAGTGCTGCCTAGCAGGAAGCTTATCAAAGATATTTAAAAAGCTTTTTGTATGAAAAACTAATTTTAATGAAGTCACATCAGTGTAGAAGGCCACTCCAGGTGGTCAGAAAAAATATTCCAGAAACTCAGTGTTACAAGCAAAGAAAGTAGTTAGCAGACCTCTGAATCTAAATTCTAAAATAATAAAAAGTGTGTAAAAAGAAAGATCAGGCCAAAAACTATATGAAATGTCACTGATGCCACCATCTTCCCTAAAGAGACAGCATCCCTTCATATCATCCAGTGCCAAATTTCTTGTCCAGAATTCAGAACTCACCAGATAAAAAACCTCCCTTGTACATTCACATAACTAAGAGGCTACATCACCTTAACCTAGTCTAATATAAGTGATAACTTAAAATAACAAGATCACCAGAAATATCAGACCATGAATATGGCCCACAGAATATGCAAATGTTTGCACATCAGATTCCTGTGTATCAAATCAGACCAGGTAGAAAAAAAAAAAAACACTTCTCTGTATAATTAAAGCTGTGTATTATTCCATAAATTTGCACTTTTTCCATTTCAGAGCTACCCTTGGCAATATTGAGTATTTTCTTAGTCCCAGTCATTTTGGTCAATGAGGCTCAATTTGTTTTCTGTGATTTGCTCGTTCAATTTAATTCAATTTTTCTGATATACAAGCCCTCAATGTCTCTAACTGAGCTCTTCATCTAATATAATTTCCTTTCAGCTTTTCAACTTCATCCTTTCTCCACCACTGTCCCAGCTTCCCTAGCTCTCAGCAGTCTTATCCTAATTATTGCTCCTGTATCTTGTACAGTCCACGTATTATTTCTTTGGCATTCAAGTCAGATAAGGCCTCTTTACCACTGCCTGAGCAAATGCAGGAGAAAATTGAGGGCATAGTTGTATTAAACTTTCTAGTCACTCTTCCTGGGAGAAATAATTACAGAGGAAATTTTGTTTAGTCACTACTGCCCTGGGAGAGAGTATGCTCAGTTCAGATGAAATATTTGGAGGATTGCGTTGCCAAATCCTAACAGGTCTCTCCAGAGCACAACTGAAGCACTGTCAATAACTGGGTCAAATTCAGACACTTGTTCAAAAGTACAACAAAAGAAGCAAAGGAAATAAATTAGAATGGAGCAAAGAGAGACTAAAAACCTAATTTAGTTCCAACAACTATTAAGGACAGCAGCACAGGGACGGGAAGGTAAGCACTAACCTGGAGGAAAAAATGACTTCTGAAGAGATCTCAGGGGGATTTTTTTTAAACCTAAAAATTCTTTCTGTTGACATGTTATCAGGTGAGATATACATGTTTAACACACTTTGAGAGTCAACGTGCCTCTCAGGAGAGCAGCAGGAGTTCTCAGTGAAGTCCTCTGCAGAGTAAGAGATGGAAGGAGCATTTCCACTTCATTCCCCAATGACCTCTGTAGCATGTCTCTTACTACCACATTTTCACAGACCATAAATTTTAACCACTTTTTTTTCTGCATTGCTCTGCAGCTGATCTTATAAGCTGGTTATATTCAGCTTTGCCACACACAAACTCCTACAAGAAGCTCTGTGGAGTCTGGACCTGTGCAGCCAGGCTATCAGCAGAGATTGACATTCCTGATCTTGCTTTAATGAAGATTATTTCTAGTAGAGGAGCCCTGAAAATAAAGGTCCTTGGAAGCCCTATACTCCAGTGTCCACCAAGAGTTAAGTTCACTTAAGTGATGGACACAAGTGCAGATTTAATTACTGATATGATTAAGAAAAATCACATATAAGAATATTTTTCAGACGAATGTATTTTATATTTTTTTTAATTTCAGGAGTTTTTCTTCAGTCCCCTACCCAATCACCTCAGCATTTGCACTTCACTTTCTTTTGCTTGCTTCTTCTCTCTTCCCTTACAGATACATAAACAGAAATTGAAGTATTTACACTCTGATGAGCTGCAATATTGTAAAATGAAGATTCTATGCTCATCCTCAAAATCCTTGTTTCTTCTTTGATGGCACAAAGAAATAAAAAAGTAATATGCTCTAAGATAAGCATGTGATGTTTCTTATTTTTCTGAACTAGAAGATATTTTTCAATGTCATTTACACATTTTTAGCTTTATGATTATCTGACATAATAGGTAACACATCTCATTATGAACAATATTTGTCTTTTTGTAACGTCAAAAGTGTTTTGTATATTTTAGTTGTCAGCACATTATTCTGTTACCTTGTGTTTCAAAAATGCAGTGGAATGGTGCCAGAAGGGACAGTTTTAGCAGCAGGATTTTATTATTGTTTCAAATCAACAAGCAGTGTAATAAGACTTTCTAAAATACCCTGCCTTCACAAGCAAACCTTTTGTCCAGCCAGTGGGAAAATGACAGAAGGAATGATTCCTTAAAGTGAAATTGCATTCGAAGCTACATAGCTAGTTGCAGCTTTAAAAATGACGAATCAGGTTGAAATTTCTTGTTAAAACCATAAATCTATTTTTCAGTATCTAATCACAATTTCTACACTTTTGAACCCCAAAACACCAGATTCCCAAAACACCCCAGAACCCCAGATTCCCCATCTTCATGAACCTAAATCAAAGACATTAGATATGAATAAACTTCTCAAGAGGTTCAGTTTCCATTGAACACCAGGTGTTGGATTCGAAAATCAAGAGCTGGTGGCAACGAAAGTGGAAAAGGACAAGAAGAAATGATGTGTTCTCCCTTTTTGGATTTGTTGGACTCAGTTTTTAGCAGCTGTTGGATTTGGACATCAATGGGGCTGTGATGCATCCTCGAGTGCTAAGGCAGGAAAGGAGCTCTGTTTGAAAGGATGCACTCCAGCAAACCTCAGCTACCAGTGAGGCTGCTGGCACTGCCTCCATGCCCTCACCTACCATCCCAGACACTCCATCTTCCAGGAGGCTGAATAAACTCTCTTCCCACTTGTCTACCTTGCAGTGCTTGAAAAAATCATGACAGACTGTCTGGAATAAGAGTGGAAATTCTTTTAGATGAAGATCCATAGCAGGCTGGTAGAGGTTCTCGGGATGCTGTTTCTTGTATTACAGAGGACACTACATTTTTTATGTGCTGAGACACCAGACATCTGGGAAAACCACTTGCTGAGCTCAAGGCCTTGGAATATCTTTTTATTTTCATTTTACTAGACATGGGTCTCAAGCTTCAAAATGACTGTTTTTTTACCCTGCTGCCAATATAAAATTTCCCCACTCCAAAAACATAAATCTGGGGGAAATTGGGGTGTGTACAGGTTGTATCTCTATGCCCATTTCTGATTTCAGCTACCTATTGAAAGAAATGAACCAGAGGTTACAAACCATGAACAGTGCCAGCAGTGAACTCTCAGAATAAAACCAGAGGTTAAAAAAAAAGGCATAAAGGTTATTTTCCCTTCCTCCTCAGCACTATCTCCAGTTTTATGATTGTTACCATTTTTCTTGCTTTTCTCCTCAGCCTTCTTTTTTTTTTCTTTGGTCATATGGTCTTGGAGCAGGACTGACTGGATAATGACATTTTCAGGTAGACAAAAAGAGGTTCTTTTGTACTTTGCAGCATGCACGGTATCCCAGGGAACAATGCAACAACATTTTTCATAGATAATTTCATATTCCTCTTTCCCTCTGTTACCTTTTCCCTCTAAGAGACTGTCTGAAACCATTCCATATGCACAGACTAATAATCATGCAATTTCACATCTCTTTGTTGAGATGAGCTTTATTTTTTCTGGAAACATAATCACAAGCAAGAACACCTAACTAAGCCAGCCAAAGCTATAACCCTTCCTGAAACGAGTTCTGTGCTGCAGCACAGTAGTAAATGCAAAGCTAAAGCCAACAACCTGTTCTAAAGAAAACCTTGTGAAACTGTTTGATTATGAGTCTCAACTAAATCCACTTTTTAGAAAAGATCTAGTAGCAGTATCACATCATATTCTATTCAAACTGATTTTGCTAATTTTATATTAGGCGCTGTAACATTTACTGAGTCGCATGAAGGATTATAGCAGATTTCAAAGAATGTTACATAAATATTAAGCCACGTTTTCTGAAGTGTTGTCTCTGTTTCCATGAGCTGGCTTTGGAACTCTATAGACATAATGGCACCAGAAGAGTGCCTTTCAGAAACCTACAGGAGGTCCAGAAGATGCTTCTACTCTGCTCCAGCAGCCCCAAAACAGACCGCCAATATTTTTCATGTCAGTGTTCATTACTGGGCTACAAGAACAGTAACTGCAAAACAGTCATTTATTGCTTAGGCAGATGCTAAAGGCTTTATTTATTATCCTCTCCCCAGAAACCAAATATTTGTGGGATGCAAGTGCTACTGCCAGTAAGGAAAGGCTTTACTTTCATTAAAGGAAGGTTTGAGAAATTCTATTCATAGACTACTGGTTCCATTTGAATGTCTTAGATTCTTACATACCACCAGGAAGAGTGTGGGCTAAGTGATATGGTAAAATTATAGTAATAAGTGGTTTGGAAAGCTACAAAATCTGCAGCAACACTGGAAAGTTATCATTGTCTCTAAATGTTAATCCCTTTTCTCATCTGCAAGTACTTCTTAAGGTATACAGACTAAAGAATGTAATATTTACAAATTTTCTTCATATTCATCAAACCACATTTACAAATTATTTCTGTAAAGTTATTCCATGAATTTACACAGTCCTGTCTTTGTCCACAGAGAATATCTTTAGTGTTTCTCTGAAACCTATGGCAGCTCTCTGGAGATGCTCATAAACCACATTTTGACTCTCTTGAGAAATTGAGTTATTATTACTGTATGCCCTCTAGCTGGAAGGAACGCCTTCATTTTCAAAAAGTTACTCAATATACTCATAGGTACTGTTCTGAACAGAAAATCACTTGCTGGCACGTAATAACACAAAGATTAAGGGAAAGGACACCCAGTTCTTCTGCTCACCACCATTTTCCCAGGTAATTCACATTTCCAAGTGCTTTTCACCACAGCGGCACCTTCTGTCACACCACAAGCCCTGGGAGACATGGCCAAGGTGGTTCACAGCATTAAGGCAACACCAACCACACTACAGCTTCCATTTAATCTTGCTTCCCTTGGATCCTGAGAAAAGCTCAAAGGTGCAACTGGATGGGGGCTTCCCACCAGAAAGGGTCCATGATGAAAGAAACCCAGCTACTCCAAAGCCAAAATACTTTATGGAACATCTTTTCCCCCCATTTTTTTCTCAGGCTGCTAAGACAAACCTCTTAGTCTGACCTGCTTCTGACAACTCTGGTCTGCAGACACAACCTGAAATATTAATTTTCAAACTTATTTCCTATTGAGTTATCCTGCTTCTTGAGAACAGTGGATCAGAGCCTTGGGTGCCTTTGCAGATCCCTGCTCTCTGCCAAGCTGGACTTACACTGGCTTGGTAGAATCAAGTCAGTAAATTAAATGAAAAAGCATTTTGATTTAGAAAAGTCTTAGTTCTACTTTGAAAAAAAGACGGTGAGACAAAATGTTCCACTGCTTTAAAATAACTTTTGAATTTTTAATTCCTTGAACATTTTTCATATGTTAACTTTTATCCTTATTACGAAGTGAAACAACTATTATGCATTTTCTGTAGGACCAGGGATGCTTACAACATAAAGTTTAGTGCTGCCCAAAGAGGATAAGACTGATCACAAACATGTACTTTCAAATTTCTTGCCTTTTTTGGTTATAACCTTTAATTTTAATTAGATTTTAATTAGATTTTTCAATACTTGAGGGTTTTTATCACCATGAGGAGGTGCTACTATAAAATCAGTAAGTTTTCTGCAAATCAAGGAGGTAAGAATTTCTGTCTTCACTAAACTCTAAATGTAGAAAAATATCACATAGGCACAATATTCATATTCTCATTATTCATAAATGTCAACATGTTTATACTTAAACACACAAAAAATATAGTACTTATGCACTTCTACACAAAGATAAAAGGTCCAGACAACACTTGAAAAGAACATCCCCTTCCACCACAATATGCATATAAATGTTATGTAGTGATAATTATTGCAAATATACTACATTCCCTTATATATTACTCTCAATTTTTTTCTCATGATTTCATCTTCAAATTTCCATCTATCTTTGTAAATGCCCTTTTGTGAGCTATGAGCTACATCAAATTTTTTAACTCCAGACCATGTGTACAATATTGTAGTCAAAGGGAAGAAATTAGAATACCAAACACTGTTTCTTTCTACACCTGCACAGAGGGACAGTGACTCTTTCAGAATTTAGATAAAATAACAATATTGGATGGGGGAACACAGGCTTTTAATTCCATATATCTCAGTCATGGTTTAATGCACATGTGCTTTAAATCATGCCCTAGTTAACACTTGTGACTGTACAGTTGACCACATTTTCCCCAGAAAATATTTCCACAACCTCTTCCAGTTACTTGAGAGAAATATACAGCAATATATTTTTTTTCCACAGAAAAATCACTCAGGTAGGGCTCCTTTACAGACAGGTATTATTTCTGCCCCTGCAGCTAGAAAATAACTCTCTACTTAAAACAGAAGATTTGGAAGATTTACCATTAACAAATATATGCACACACTGGAAATCAAGAGTTTCAGCTCATTGACTATAAAAAGATAATAATCTGTGTCCTACCTATGGTGGTAATAACAGTGCCAGCAAAGAAGAAGGAACTTCCCAAGTCCCAGTGACTGATCTGAGCAGATGTGTTTCCTAAAGGTATGATTCCTGCATTTATTGCTGCCACTACTTGCTGCAAGTTTAAAAAGATTTTGTCAATATCCATGAAACAATTGTATTCTTATATATATATATTATACAGTAAATTGATTAATTCATTTATTTCATCCAAGCACTAAACCAGAAAATATCTGTGTTGCTTTGCTTGAACATTATCACTCCATCAAGCTACAATTTATTCTTCAGCAACCACTCCAGGCAATTCAGAAGAGCTGTAAAGTCCAGACCATTGGAGAGAATGCAAAATCTGTGATATTACTATCTTAGTTAGAAGGCAAACACAATTATTTTTACTGCTGCAACTATTTGGTGAAAAAAAAACATGCATTAGACAAAATTTATAATGAGAGTTTCCCACAATGTTCCTGTGTTTTGTTAGGCAAGCAAATGGACTTCTTAAAAACAGTCATTTTAAAACACCAAGAAAAAATGCCCATGCATTTTTCTGTAGCAAATTAATTCCAAAGAAAGAAAACACTTTTTTAAAACAGACAATTCGATAATTAAAGCAATTACGCATACAATTATAAAACTTTCACTATTGCAGAAAAAAATCAGTCAAACATTAAACATGTATCTCTATACAACTATATACTTCAGAAATGTTCTTGAAAAATTCAGTTCTAGTAAATGAAACAACAAGCTTGCCACTAGTGACGTCTTCATAGTATCAAGAAACAGGAAACTTTTCTTCTTTCAGCAGTATCAACTACTGTAAATTCTTATTACAAAATGTATTCCTGTTATGTTATATCACAATTGCAGATATATACTAGTATTTGAGTTCAAGAAAAAGTATTTTAAAACTTGTGACAAATATTTTAAAAAAAATATAATTTTTATTTAACTCTTAAACTTTAAAACAGGATTTATTTCTAATTATGATACTTGTGATAATTGATGTCTAACAAAAGAAAAACAGAGGAAGCCATACCACATGAAAATGATAATTTCAACTGACTAATAGGTCCTTCTTGGCAAGATGTACAACAATAATTAGGTACATAAATACATTCAGTGAAAGGACAGACCAGAACCATCTTGCCTTTGGGCAGTCTGTTGCAGAGGAACAGTGTTGTACAGTAGTAATCATTTTTTCAGTCCCAAAATACATTGATTATTTGGAAATTAAAACATTTCTGTCATTAAACTATCCTGCATAAGTCACTTGATCTGGGCAGAGCTTATGAAGTAACAATGCAGGAGTAACTAGGACATCTATTTTTTTTTTTTTAATGGGACGTAAATCCAACATGAAATCCAGCTTAAATCCAACATTTCCAGTTTGCCATTTTCAAAGCTCAGATGCACAAAAGTTACCATTGTGAAATCCACTGCTGCACCTCTGCAGCCACACAGATCTTGCTGCCAAACCTAAACAATTTCCACCATCCAGGACTGTCAACAGAAAACCAGCTGGGGTATCTTTACACATTTTTTTTTTTTTTTTAAATTTGTTTTTTTTTTTAAAAAAGCAGAAAGGCAGACATCAAAGAAGTGGAATTTTCAATCATACTGAGGAAGGAGAAAGGATGGGGAAAGTGAGGGGGAAGAGAGTTTAATTTTTCTTGGTTTTGGAAGGAAAAATCTTCTACATTAGTACAGGATGTACAGCTTGGCAGGAGCAAATACAGCAGCACTGATACCGACAGGTGTTTCCATCCATGTAGGAAGGGACACACCAGACTAAGAGGCTTGTGCAAACCATCCATTGAACTGGTTTTATAATTTAGACAATACAGCTATTCCTTTGATTTACAAGGCAGTGTAAATCAGTGTGCTGCATTACACAGGGCCCACTGAGTGCTGTTACATTTCAGGGGACTAAGAACTGCCATCACAAGTCCTGGTATCTGCACATGGGAGCACACTCTCCAGCGAGGACATTCTATGATACAGCACTGGATCAATGTAATTCTTTGAATCATTCTTGTTTCTTGCACTGGATGAAGGTGCTACCCAGAGCAATGCACCTGTTTAGACAGTCTAGCAAGACCAAGTTTTATACAAATCCAGATGCAGAATGGATTTGTAAAATCCAGGGCTTTTATCATTACTGCACATTTTTGAAGCCATATGTACCTCAAGGCCTTTTATATGAAAGGTGTTCCAATCTAAATCTGCTCAAGGATCCACTACAGCCATGCATTTCCTGACTTCATCTGCCACACCTACATTTTTCCTGGAAAAAAAAGGTACAGCTTAACCCAAAACTGCCCAAGGCACGACAGATGGCTACAAAAGACAATTAGCCACTATTATTATGTCTCTGATTTTATCCAACTGCTAAGCAGGAAAATAATCAGGGCTTCTTTCAGAGATGCTTCCTTTTTGTACAGCCTCCTAAGTTCTGACTACACACACTTTTAGAGACTTTCTGAGTAGGAGGCTGCATCTGCATCGTGGTGTTCAGATTGGCTTGGGTGAATTGCTTTGCCATTTATTTATCTAATTACTTTTGGAGCTCACTTGTATTTTGGGAGCCAAGTCGTTCTGTGGCAGTAAGATCTTCAAATTACTTGTGGATCATTTAAAGCATATTTCCCTTTTGAGAGTTTGTATGCACTTCAAAATAATTTTTTAAGTTCTTATGTTATGAGGAACACTTGAATAGCAATTTCTGATTTGTCTCCTTCAAGAAATTAATGATCTTACAGACCACTCAGCTTCCTCTTTCTTTCCAAACTGAGGACTTTTTCTTATTAAATAATATATTCACTTATTTAAACAAATCTGTTGTATATCACATATAAGTGTTTTTTAAATAAGTGTTTTTTTACTGCCAGTATTTCTCATTGATTTTCTTTGTACATTTACTGATTCACATTTGTAAATTTGTTGACTGTTTTAAGCAGTTTTAGTCATGAAGGGCCAGATGATGCCTTCATTATCACTGGGCTGTTGTTTCCAAACACACAATGTTATGCTTTCTTCTGGGCTGTGACCGTGTTTGGGAGAAGTTAGACTAGATAAAGCTGCCACATTTAATTCTTTCAGAGACATCTGTAAGAGTCTTCCTGGCTCACAAGGGTGACAGGTGGGTAAGGTTACTGGTTTACTGAGGTCAGCTGTCTCATCAAGTCTTTGAATGTTGCCTGCAGATTTTTCAGGAAGGATGACTGCATTTTCAACTTTTTGGGTCAGAGGATGACTTTTCTTCTTAGTCTGGTCAGCAATCATGAGAAGATCATCATCTAAGACTATTCCCAAGAAAAATTTAAGAAGAAAATAATATATTGCATAACTCCTTGTACATTTCAGGGCAATAATTTCAGGGTAGCATCTTCGTGACATGTTCACCACACAAACTTATTTGGAGGATTGGATATTAACACTTCTCTAGCCCTGAATAAAAACTCAGGCTCCACTAACTTCACTAAGGGCCAGGATCTCAGCCTTAGTCTTCAAATAACAGGCTTATTATTTGCTGTCAGAGCTGTCTGCCACCTTAATTCATGGTCTTTAAGCCTATTTTTTGACTGATGCCTTACTACTAACTATTACTGCAAACTTGATTTGTCATGAGTTTGATTTCCTTCCTTCCTTCCTTCCTTCCTTCCTTCCTTCCTTCCTTCCTTCCTTCCTTCCTTCCTTCCTTCCTTCATCTGTTCCTCCCTCCCTCAATTCTTGCTGTCACTTGAGACCTTTGATTTATCTTAACTCAAACAGTAGTGAAAGTAACTGTACATTTTGAATCTAAAAGCAGAATAATGAAAACTCTATAATCTGTACAGTCATCATATGCTGCAGCCTTTAAACACTGTGTAATTTTAACATGGGAACTTTCTGATTTATAAAAATTATTTTCCTTTATTAAAGTTAACTGACCTCTTCAGCGGCAATTTTTATAGTATTTTATTCCATATACAAAATAAATTGTTCTAAAAATCAGTTTTGTTTCAACACTACAGAATTGGTCAGCATTAGAACAGGGATGTGGACAGATTAAATTCTTAAAATATGCAGACTATTTCACTTGACTTGCCTTATTCCAGAGTCTTTGTCTAGTCCTTGTTTCAAATGAGTTGACTGAGGACTGAGCACAGGGTGGGTCACCCAGCACATGGCACCCAATAAAGGCCTCTATGCAGAATGATTTTAAGAATAATAGTATGTAAATTACACTTACAGTAATATGTTTTTCTTCTTTAATTATCTTTATAACGGTGGAAAAAACAGGCTTTTTTTTTTTTTAATAGTGAAGTGAATTGGGAAAAAATTTTGACACATTAAAAATTTTAGAAAATTCCCATTTTTTGAGTTAGGTCAATTCTTAGGCAGCCTCTGCACTGTATCTTAGGATAGGCATGAAGTGTGTCTGAAATCAAGTCCTCACTTGCACTACACCTACACATCCCAACTAGTTGGCTTTGCAGCCACATTTGGGAACAAGCTTTAGTAGAGGATCAGAGAAAAGAGGCAGAGATGATTGAGCCCAGAATGGACAGGCCAGGCATGACCAGAGCTCCAAAAGCACATAAGTATTGCTTTCACACCACACATTCTTTGCTTGAGATCAGAACACTGGGAAAAGGAGCATGAGAACACAAACCCCATTTTAATTCAATGTCAGTATTTCATTTTCTATATAATTTAGAAACAGTTTCTGGTAAATACAGTGTGCAGTTTTGTGTTATTCCTGTGTTCATGCAGGCATTTCTCTGTAGAGGCCATGCTGAACTTTGCTTTGCAGATTAAGACATAGGATACTGTGACTTTTCTTCTGTCAAAGGAAGAAATAAAACAATCTTTTGAACAGCACAGTCATTTTCTGAAAATAGAAGACAATTCTAGATGAGGGATTTCATCTTCTGGTGCTCTGACCCTGCAAGGAGTCAATGGCATTGACTGACAAAAGGCAGCCTGCTGGCCAGGAGCTACATCCACTAAGTGGGTCTGCAGAGACACAGCAAAATAAGGAGAGTTTATAAAGTATGAAGGCTGGCCTCTGGTAGTCAGCTGTTGTCTCACATGGAAACCAGGCAGAAATAAGTATGTGTCACACCAGTCACT